CCGGGTGCATCACACTGAAGATTAAACTTTTTAGAAACCCTCAGTCTACTGAGCCGGGCCGGGTCCTCTTAACATTTCCGAGCTCAAAGGTCTCCAGTGGCCAGGGCCCAACCCCAGGTCCTCGGGACTGGGTGGGGAGGCGAGGCCGAGGTCGGATGGGACAGGCTGTGGGGTCCTCCGGGTCTCCGAGCTGCTTTTCCTTCTGCACAGAGACTGTGGTCAGGGCCCTGCGGGGGGTCGGGACGGGCTCCACGGGCACGGACCGCTCCCTGGCCATTAGGGCGAGAGCTGCCATCCCGCCGCAGCTCACCGGGCTCCTTTCCTGCAGGTTACGGACAGGACTTGGCCGGCTTCGGACAGGGCTTCTCAGATCCCAGCCAGCAGCCCCCCTCGTATGGGGGCCCCTCAGTGCCGGGCTCGGGGGGCCCCCCCGCCGGCGGAAGTGGCTTTGGACGAGGTCAGAACCACAACGTGCAAGGATTCCACCCGTACCGACGCTAGCTGGCCGGCGCCGTGTGGACGTCGGGGCGGCCGAGACCCAGGATTTAAAACTTGTGAACTCGTGACAATCACAAACTTGGCAGAAAAATAGCGGCTCACCGTTGGGGGGAGGGGGGCGAGAGGCTTTTGGAGGCGGCTGTGGGTGTCTGGACTGAAGTTTTTAAACATATTTCTTTCTCTAACCCATCAGCACAATAAAAAAAAGTCACTGGTTCAACAACAGGGTTTAAAAAAAATGTCTTCAGCTTTAATTCAAAACTTCAGGTTTCTTTTTCTTCCTTTTTTTTGAAATTATTTTCCTGAGCCTTTTGTTTTACCGTATATTGTAAACTTTTATGTTAAAGAAAAAATATACATTTACAAATTGTGAGATTTTTAAGAGAAATTTTCTACGATGTATACTGGCTTATTTTTTAATTTAAAGCAGGGTTTCCGTCGGCACTGGTGGCAGTGAGGGGCGTTTCAGTGCCTCACTCCTGGCTTTGAGGGTCGGGGCTTGTTGGTCCAGAAACTCTGGGAGCTTACAGAAAAAGTCTACTGAGCGTGTTTTGTTTTTTGTTTATTCCTTGCTTTTGTCGACTGACCTGCCTGGCAGCGCCCGCAGGTGCGCCGTGGGGGCCGCGCCCGCCCAGCCTCTGCCGGCGCCGCCCCGCGTCCGCCCCGGCAGCAAGGACACGGAGGCCTTGTCAGCCGCTCTCCCGCGCACGTGGTTTCAGGGCAGGGCGTCCCCACCGACCAGTTTGACCCTGGTTTGAATAAAGAGAAGTGCGTTTGGATTAGAAACCCACGTTGTGTGCTTTTATTCCCTCCTTGCTGTCGGCTGTGCGTCCCTTCTGTGTCCAGGAGGAGCCCGTCCCTGCGGGAGACCTGTGCCGGCCCTCCCCACCTCCCGGGGCTCAGGAGCCAGGCCCCACCTGCCCGCGTGGGGAGCCGGGGACCTGGTGCGAGCTGCCGGCCCAGGCTCCAGGGGCTCAGCGGCCACCCGCCGAATGCCAAGGGAAAGGTGCTCGGACGGATCCGGGTGGGTGGGGGCCATCCCGTGGCCGGGGCGGGAGGCAGCATGATGGCCCCGGCTCCTAGAGCTCAAGGACCAACGGTGGAGGTGAGGGAGGAGGGAAGCCTGAGCCAGGAGGTGGGGAGGGCTGAGCTCTGGCCAGCGTCCCACGGCGGCCACCAGGTGTCTGCCAGGCCTTTCCAGCCCTGGGTATTTGGACCTTTCTGTCCCTTTTCTTGACTGCTCCTTCCCCAGTGAGAAGGGGCTGACGCTCAGCGAAGGCCCTGTTTGCAGCCCCAACGGGAGGGGGAGTCCGTTCGCCTGCGCACAGGGCTTCCTGCTCTGGGCCCCACTTCCTGTGGGAGTGGGGAGGGGCTCCTGGGTCTGGGGGAGGCTGGCCCTGGGGATCCGCTATGAACCAAATGGGTCAGTCCTCCCCTGTTCTGATGTGGGGGGTGTGTAAGGGCCCCCGTGACAGATCACCACCCACCTAGGGCTTAAAGCCGCTCACAAATCGTCTTTGACAGTTCTGGGCCCCAGGGATCCCCGTCTCCCACCTTTCCCGGCTTCCAGAGGCCCCTCTTCCATTCTCACGGCCAGCAGTGCGGGGTCCGCCCGTCTCTGTCCCCTTCTCATGAGGACCTCGTGTGGACGCTGGGTACCCAGGGTCACCCCCGCCTCAGGCCTTGCTAAGGTCCCCTCTGTTGCGTGAGGGGACAGATCCCTGGTCCCAGAACCAGGTCTGGGGTCTTTGGAGGCCGTTATTCTCTCATTCTAAAGACCACAATGAAGATTTTAAAGCGTAAAAAGAACGGATTGCTCCAAAATGCACGGGGTGCCACCACAGTGTGTGGGGCTGGAGATGAAGTACTGAAGGAAACAGCCAGTAGCCCTCGTCCCCGCCCACAGCCCGCTCGCGATCTGCGCTAGGGAGGGTGGCTCAGCCCAAAGGCGAAGAGAAGCCCTCAAAATGCCCCTGCGGGGCCGCAGCACCTGCCCGCCCCCGCCAGAGTCTTCTCCCTGCCCTCAGGAGGTGCCGCCACAGCCGGTTTACAGACGAGCAGGACCGGGCCTTCCATCCACGCCGCGTGCCATCGCGACGTTTAACATGAGCTCCTTTCACTTGTGAAATTCTCTGTAAAATTAGGGTTCCCTGGTGAGAGGCCGTCGTGCAAACGACGCACGGATTTCCAGCTGGCCAGGAGCTCCTGGGACCCCCACCTTGCTCTGCTGGGCACAGGCGAGCCCCCTTCACACCCTGAAGGACACGCCCCGTAGCCCCCAAACCCCGTGCTTGTGCTGCGTCGCAGACAGGGAGGGACATCCCCTTCTTTGGGAGGGTTTAATTGGCTCTACCCGCAGGATTGTAGAAATGGTTGAGGAGGCCCAGCTTCTTTCCAGACTTCTGTTCCCCCCAGGCCAGCCCCGGCTCCCCACAAAGCCACTGGTCTAAGCCAGACCCCACCCAGCAATCCAGCTTGGGGCCGGGAAGGGGCTGAAGCCTCAGTCGCGGCCGTGGGCACCGTAGAGTCAGCTGGGTGGTGGGGCGGTGGTGGCAGCACCCACCTCCTTCCTACCGCAGGGTCTTTGCACGCTGGCTCCCTCTTCCTGGAACTCACCCTCCAGCCAGTGGTCTCTCCCATCCCCTGGTGTTCAGTGTGGTGCTCGGTTTACCCCTGCCGGTTCGCTTTTTCTCTGTGCCGTGTGCCTTGTTTTGTTCTTACGCTTCTCTGTTCATGCTTTTGCGTTAAGTGAGTATTTCCTAAGGTAGCGTTTTAGTTCTTTTAATGATTTTTTTGTCATATTTTTTGAGTTATTTTCTTTGAGGCTGTTCTAGAGCTTACCATATGTTTTTTTTTTTTCTTTTTGAAAAAACTTTTTTACGTTTATTCAT